GCAAATTTGCTGATGATGGACTCAATCCCCAATTGACTTGGGTTTGGCTGTTGTGCTGTTACCCAGAGGGAGTCTGGGTAATGAAAACATTGAAATCTTCCTTGTGTTTTATGAGATACCAATATGAGCATGTGATTCAGCAGGTGTTTGCAGTTGCTTTTGTTTGTTTTACATGTGTTTAGTGCAATAGACTCACAACAAATAATCCTCTGAGAGATTCAGATAAATACTTGAGGTACAAAGATCAGTGCGTTGTTATCAGGCAACCAGACCGCTCTGTTCATGGAAACCATTAGCATTCTGGTCACTGAGTATAACTGGCCTGATTCACAGCAGCTTGTGGCAATAGGCTTTAAATAGAATGTAAGAAAAAAATTACATACTCTGCTGTGTAGGTGAACAACATATAAGGGATGGGAAAGTCTTTACTGACCAGTAATGACTGACCTGTTACGCTCTTTGTGATTTTGGAGATTGCCTTAGGTGGTGGAGCTGGGAGCAGTGGAGAGCTGGGAAGCTGTGCTGGGTTTCTTTCTGTCTGTTTCTGGGGGGAATCTGTGGATTCAGATACAAGTAAGGCTTGTGGACTGTCTTCAGATGCTGGCAGGCTGGCATCTTCTAATTCTTCCGTGGGTGCTGAAGGTTTCTTGGCTAGTAGGAAGAGGAGTAAAATTAATGGAACATGAAGTTAATAACAATGATAGGCCAGGGGACAGTGCCAGGAACATTCAGAAAAACAGAGCACATGGCACACAGCTAGAAGCACTTTTCCATGGTGAAAATAATTATTGTGTGAAATAGCCAACCAGCCAAGGCTGGTAAAGGATAAAATGTATGAGGACATTGAAGAAATGTTAGTTTTGATGTTCCTAAGAAAACTGCTGAGTTTTGGGGGGGTGTGGGGGGGTTTTTTTAGTAATGAAGACAACAAGGCAAAGCAACTTCTGAGAACTGCAATGAATTTCTTACAGCCTGCAGCTGCAGTGGCACAGTTAGGGCAAAGAGTATCGAACCAGTAAGATTACATGAAAGCTGACTTTCCAGTTGTTTGTTGTACGTATTTATTTTCACAATTTAATTTTTATCTTACTTAATACATGACTTCAACTTGCATCCCACGTCTTCTCTTACTGCACCTGACTCCAGCACTGTTGAGTCTTTCTTGAGGTTAAAGTTGATAACCAAGAAAAGCCTGCCATAAAAATATTAACCAGTGGATCTCAGCAACTCATGCAGAACAGAAAATGGATGAAGTACTTAAGAAAAACTTCAGTCACCGAAGCCTTAATCTGAGATGGTGAAGCAGTGCTCATTTCAGGGCTGTCTCCTGAAAGATAGCAAAAGCACTTAGCTCTTAAAGTTAGTGCAGGCTGAATCACTGGCAGTTTCATCACATTGACCTGGCTGTGATGAGGGCACAGGGGAATAGATCCAGAAAGGCATGAAGCTGAAGCAGGAGATAGGTGGAATTTCAGTGATGAAGTCCAAAATTAACATCCTTGGATCCTGCTTAGACACCAGCTGACTCTGGCAGTGCTTGGATTGGCACAGTGCCTTGCTGTTTGACTTTCACACTCTGTTACGTGTCCTCATCTCTGCCTTGGCATACACAGGGACCCACAGAGAGGCTTGAGCCTGACTCTGATCCAAGACCCCAGCCATGGCCAAGCTCTCTCCAAACTGCATTTCCAGCCACTGCAAGCTCAGTAGTAGCCATGAGGGTTATTTTTCCTACCCTGGCAGGTGAAACACTCACCCAAATGGGGAGATCAGTGTTTGTCTTTCCTCAGCATGAGAGAGGACCAAACTGCTTGGGCTGGATAAATGGCAAATCTCACTCCTTGAAGCATTCTGGATTGTCTGAACCAAGCACCCTTCCCTCCAAACCAGTGTAGGACATCTCCTAAAAACTCACAGCAGTGAGCACCCACAGCTGCCATGTCACAAATCTTTTCTTGATCACTTTTATGTCTTGTTTGCAATATAAATTCTCTGCATTAATGAACATTCAGCATCCTCGTTAAGAGTGCATGGGGAGGCACCAGAGCACTTAAGCAGTTGGAAACAATAGCATTGGCAAGATAATGGCATTTAATTTGTTGACAAGCAGATTAATGAGTATGCCTAGAAGAGGAGGAATGAGTGTTTATCATTCAAAAAAGACAGGAAAGTAGAATAAATACGCATTGTTAAGGAGAATTCTTGTGAAATTTGGCTTGATAGGAAAGCTGTCCATATGTGGTAGTTGCCTGAATCATAGAAAGAAATTATTTTAAATATATTTTTAGGAAAAAGCTTTGTTTCAGGCTGACACCATTTGTCTTTTTTGTGCCTATCGCATAGAAGACAAAGTGTGGAATAGAGGAAGAGAAAAATAAAGTCACTAATGGGTTACAAAATGAAAAGATCAAGAGCTCCAGTAGATGTTAGTGGCTTGATAGGAGAATTAGTCAGATTTGAGTGCATTCCCCTGAGTGGAGCAATACTTTCTTCTGGCAGTAACTTCACTGAAATCAGTAGACCTCCCCGTGACATGAAGTGCTGTTTGGCAGGGATGCAGAGGAGCAGCCATAGTGGGACCTTTCCTGTAGAGAAGGTGAATCCAAAACACACTTGGCCTCAGTCAAACAGATCTTTTTGTTTCTAAACTCCGTTGTGTTCTGAGAGTAGTACCACAAAAACAAACTGGCATCGTGCGCTGTTGTCTCAAGAATGTCCATTTTACATTCCCTGCAAAGAACAGTTTGCTTCTGTTCTGTGATTGTTTCTGGTAACAACAGTACATGTTTGACTCGGTCTGAAAGCAGACCTGAGTCTTGAGTACACAAACCTATTAACAGATTTCATAT